CAACCTGCTTTGAAAATTTATCCCTTCGACCCAAACCCACCCACTTGCCCATATTGAGCCGCCTATAAATGCAGAAAGAAAACAATTTGTGAAGTTGTGCAAAATGGTTACCTTTCCCACAATGGACCGGGCAGCCCGATTTCCAGCTCGGGCAGACATACAAAGGAGATCCTTTTCATGATGGTGCATCATATAATCAATGGCAGTAAAAGTCAAACGCTGGAAATTGACCACCTTTAAAACGACTGGTTCTCTAGCCTCGGTCAGAAGCATATTACATCCGCAAAAAGTTTGCAATGAAATCGTTTTGATTAAATTAATCCGATTAGCATTATCAAGACCAATAAGATAGTGGTTGGTATGATTGAATCAGAAACGGAATGGAATGAGTGTATGATGGAATCCGGAGCGGAATGGAATATTTTTTCGGTTGGAACGAAAAAAAAAAAATATGTGTTTTGCCTAGTGGAATAGAATGGACCATTCTCGAAGGAACTTGATTCCTTCCATTTTATTAATTTTCATTATTTAGGAATGGAATGAAAAATTGTATTATCATCCCTTTTTATTAATATCATTTTTTCTGGCACGTGTTTTTTAAAAAATTCATTAAGTTACAGTTTTATAATCTACAAATAAATAGAAATTTTTTTTTTACTTATAGTCTTATTTGAGTTTTATTGAGCTTTTATTGTGTTTGATTAGTTTTGTAATAAAAAAATATAGTGATTATAATCAAATAATAAAGAGTAGAGTTAAGCTATACACCATATTTACACATAATAAAAAAATTCATATGAAAAATTATTCACTTCAAGATGCCAACCAAACATGGTTAGTGTAATGAGTCATTCCATTCCATCCAACCATACAAACCCTAAAAGAAATAACACTGAAAACTTACACTGCTCCCACTCTTGCCAAGTCTCTCGCACCATCACTTGACACTGCTATTGCGACCAATATCACATCCAAAATATGCAAGGGTAAATCCGTCATATGCGCCATCTTATTTTTCAAATTGCTAATAAGACCAAGATCATATTCAAAACAAGTAAAAAAAATTGTGAAAGAGGAAAACTTAAGGTAAGTGACATTTCTCCCCAATTTCCTTTTTAAAAACAAATCTTGTTACATATTCTTCGAAAAAATTAAAATATACAAAACTTTGGACTAAACAAAGTTGTGTATCAGTCTATGTAAAAGAAACAATAAAAACTAGAAATTAACTATTTATTGGATTACCATATACATTCCATAGAAAGCTTTATAGAAAATCTAAGATGATTGAAACAAAAACTGGTCATCTAGTTAAGGAAAAAGCATAATCTCACCGATAGATGTAAGAAAATGGGAACAAATTTACCTGAAGAAGTTGTAAATTTCAGAGACACCGCTAAGGTGACGAAACAACTACGTCATGTAGAAGAACTCTTTCACAAAAACTATATTTAAATAAACATAAGGTAGTTCAAAACGAGTCAATGACTATACATTAATATCTATTATGCCCAACTAAACGAAATGAATGTGTTTCTTATAAATGAGATTCAAGTGAATTTGTTTATTTGCATCTTGCTGGTTTTTAATAATATTCTCTTCGTTCCAAAAAGAAAAAAAGTGGAGGTGTTCAAAAGTTTTGGTAGTAGAGCATCCATAACTATGAACCATACCCATATTAAACATTAAAATATCATATTATTCTTCATAAAATTTTAAAATATCGTATATGTCCTTTTTAAACATCAAAATATCATATATGTCTCTCATAAATATCAAAATATCATATATACCCTTCTTAAACATCAAAATGTCAATGGTAATATCTAAAATATCATCCACTACAACATGATAATAATCAACAACAACAAAAAATAAGCAATCAATGTATACATTAGCTGTAGGGTTTACACATTTTTTATTTAATACATTATACTTATACTACCATAGTTTTTGTAATCATATACAAGACATCAACTATTTATAAGATTAAAGGAAGACGGACAAAAAGAATTTCCATTACATACCCGAGAATTTAAGGGTGGCAAACATTTACCTAAAACGTGGGTCAATTTCAGTTATATATTAACTCTCATTATAACTACCTCCAACAAGTGAAATGGTTCAAAAGTCGCCCAAAGTGTATCGAAATGCTTACAAGATCATAAATTGATTTATTATAACATATTATGAATGTTGTATTGGAATAGTTTTTGGAATCATATTTAACACCTTAATTATATATAAAATTCAAGAAAGATGGTTTTTTTTGTTGGATTAGTGTCTAAGTCCGTAACTATATTTGGTATGTACTTGACCCGAGTGTGCATGGTCCTTTTGGGTTGCCTTCACCAAAGCAACTTGACAAGGTAATTTGATATGAGAGAGAAGATATTATGGTTTATTAATATATTATAAGAATAATATATTAAAGGAGAAATCATATTTATTTAATTAGTATTAGTCATAAATTAATTAGGAATTAATTTGGTGACTAAAAGAGATTAATTAAATAAAGGGGTATAAACTGTCAAATGTGTGATAGTTGAGTTTTGGGCTGGGAAACCTTATGGACTAAGGGGGAACGAAATTATGATGAGGGATCATCATATTTTCGTCCAAGGGCCTCATTCCAGAAGGTTCCTTGGGCTGCTTGGTGGCTAAGCTATCCATTAGGGTTTAGACTGAAACCCTAGCACCCTACAGTATAAATAGATGCCCTATGCTTCAATTTTAGGCCACTTGATTCCAAGGGAAACCCTAGGGCCGAAATTAGCATCCTTCCCCTCTCTCTCTTAATTGCCTTCTTGCTTCAAGGTGTTTGTGAGCCATTAGAGGCACTACAATTGTGGTGCTTGCTTTCAAGAGTTCAAGAGATCAAGGAAACTAGTTGTTATTGCAATATAACAACAAAGGTATGTCTTCTACACTTCTATATGATTTTCGAAAATTATAGAAGCATGCTAGGGTTTATTTTGTGTTCATATAGTTGTATGTCTTATAGTGAAAACATAGATCCAATTAGGGTTGCATGCACACATAGGATTGTTTGTATAAAACCTATCAGTGGTATCAGAGCCAGGTTTTTGTTTTCAATTTGATTTGATACATATTATGAATTTGACAAATTAGGGTTTATGGCAAGTAAACCCTAAGGCTTGGTGGTTTTCGAAAATAGGGTTAAGAAACCCTAGTTGGCGATTTTTTGTAGGGTTCTTAAACTTTTTTTGCCTAGCCTCCAAATTTCGAAATTAGGGTTATGAAACCCTAGGGATTTCGAAAATCCCTTGCCCCCCAAGACAAGATCCCAAAATTTTAGGGATTTGGATAATGCCATCTTTGTGATTATCAACTTAATTGTTTAAACTAGATAATTGAAGATCTTGAATTATCCTTTCCATAAATTTCGAAATCTAGGGGATAAAAAGGATTAGGATAAATTAATTGTTTAATTTTATGATAATCCTTCATGATTTAATAATTTAAATTAATTGTTTAATTTTGATAATTATTAAATCAAAGATTTTTGGTGTTTAAAATTTTAAATTAAATTGTCTAATTTTCGAAAATTTTAAATGCAACAAAGACACTAGTATTTTAAAATGTTTTAAAATACACCCTTATACAATTATGATATTATAAGATTAATTATTATATATATGTATAAGAATAAGCTAGTCTTATCGCTAGTAGGCCTCATTCACGAAGCCAGTCTATAAGGTGGGTATAAGGTTGCTGCCTATAAAATGGCGCTTAATGGATGTACACTCACATCTACCGCTTGCTTGACTGGTGGAGGGTCGTTAGCCGAACGGATAGGATAGGGCACTTAATTCCTCATTATAAGTATAATGGAAATATTAAAGTAACTACATTGTTTTACAAATTCCCACTCTTAGTTACTTTAGGGTAAAATGTGAAAATGATGCTATTCCATGGAATTACACTTTGTACCCCTGTCAAACGTTAGTGGAGCGTGCGTGGTTAACCAGCACACTAATTTGGGATTGACATTGGTGACAAAGGGTGGCTCGATGTCTTATCATAGATCAATGGAGCGTGCGTGGCTAACCAGCACATTGATTAGGTGATGAAGACATTGAGTGCACCATGATGATTCGCATGGTTATTCACAAACTTGTTTGCGATCCTCGGCATCCCAGTCGCAAATTTGAAGTGCATATCGAGATTTAAACATGCCATTGAAATGTTCAATGAATCTCAAAAGAAATCTAGGAATTTTCAAATACATTTAAAACTTAACCTCTTTCGTTTTTCATGGTGAAAATTAGTGAATCGTCATTCACTTACCTTCAAATTATTTACTTTTAGATTACGGCATCCCTTTTCTAAGTTGTAAATAATGTTGTTGGATCCTAGCCCTAATTTCTCATGTGGGTGTTTAATTAGGGATTCATTCTAATCAAACTTTGTTCCTTTCTATTTCAGATGTCAAACGCAAACGCAAACAACAACACTTCTGGGTCATTCTCGTTGATGAACCTGTGTCAAAAGTGACATTTGATGGCTCGAACTTCAACGAGTGGATGAGATACATTCGCATGATAACTCGTTATGAGGACAAAGAATATGTCCTAGACGAGAAGCTTGAAAGGATCAACCCAGAAGAAGCTACTCCTGAAGAGATGGCCGCCTTTGAGGCCCACGAGCGTGATGCAACGAAAGTTCATTGCATCATGTTGGCCACCATGAACCTCGAACTCCAAAAGTCCTATGAGGACATGTATCCATATGAGATGCATCAAGATTTGCTGGACAGGTACCACCAGAGCGCGAGGCAAGAGCGCTATGAGATCATCACCAACATGATCACCGCTAAGATGGGGAGTGGAGAATCCCTAACTGCTCATTTGCAAAGAATGCAAAGATATGTTGATCGTCTTCTCAAACTTAATGTTAAGTTTGATGAGGATTTGGCTATCGACATCATCCTCCACTCCTTGCCTTCCTGCTACAGCCAGTTCAGAATGACCTACCACATGAATAAGGAAGAGGTCACCCTAAGTAAGCTTCAAGGGCTCCTGAGGACAGCTGAGAGCAACCTCAAGGACAAATCTGTTGCATCATCCTCTACTGTAGCTGCTCCTGTGTTGGCAATTGGCCAAGGAAAGGGAAAGAAGAGGAAGGCTCCTTACAAGAGCCACCATAAGGGTAAGACCCAAGATGGTTCTTCTGTTAAGCCCTCTTCTGACCCCAAGGAAGCAGAGTGCTTCTATTGCCACCAGAAGGGCCACTGGAAACGAAGCTGCCCTAAATATCTGCAAGATATTAAGGATGGGAAGATAAAACCCACCTTCGCAGGTATGTATTTAATTAAATCTAATAACTCATCATTTGCTACTTCATGGGTTCTTGATACAGGGTGTGGTTACCACATTTGTTCTGATATGCAGGGCCTAAAAAGAAGTAGGGAAGTGGAGCATGGAAGGATAAGCTTGATCATGGGAAACAAGAAGTCTTCACCAGTAACCAAGATCGGAGTTTATTCCTTAGTGTTGAGTAATGGGTTAGGGCTAGATTTAAATAATTGTTGCTATTCGCCAGATATGGCAAGAAACATCATTTCTTTTCATGGTTTGTTTAGACAAGGTTTCAGATATTCATTTGATAATAGTAATGGTTCTATTAATGCTTATTTGAATGGTGTCTTTTATTTCAATGCATTACCTTGTAATGGGATTTATGAATCTGTGTTAGTTATTGATAATTTAGGAAATGATGTTTTGAATATTGATTCGTCCACAAGTTTGGACAAAGCATGCTTGTGGCATTGTCGCCTTGGCCATGTGAACAAGAAACGCATAGCCCAACTCCAAAAGGATGGAGTCTTGGAGTCTTTCGACCTTAGGGACGATGACGTGTGTGAGTCTTGTTTACTTGGGAAGATGACCAAGTCACCCTTTACTGGCACATGTGAAAGGGGTGAGGGTGTATTGGATCTCATACACACAGATGTATGTGGACCCTTTAGATCCACCACAAGGGACGCTTGTCGCTTCTACGTGACTTTTACAGATGATTATAGCAGATATGGATATATCTACTTAATCAAGCAAAAGTCAGAAACCTTTGAAAAGTTCAAAGAGTTCAAGAATGAAGTAGAGAATCAGTTGGGCAGGAAAATCAAGATGCTTCGATCTGATCGAGGGGGAGAGTACCTAAGTCTTGAGTTTCACGACTATCTGAAAGAGTGTGGAATAGTTTCACAATTGACGCCTCCTAGAACGCCACAATTGAATGGTGTGGCTGAGAGACGTAATCGAACCTTGTTGGACATGGTTCGCTCTATGATGAGTCGTGCTTCGTTACCAATCTCATTCTGGGGGTATGCCTTGGAGACTGCCGCCCATATCCTTAACTTAGTTCCCACCAAGAAGGTTACCAAAACACCTCACGAGATGTGGACAGGGAAAGCTCCCTCGTTAGCACATATCAAGGTTTGGGGTTGTGAAGCTTTCGTAAGACGAGAGACTCACGACAAGCTAGAACCTCGTAGTGAGAAGTGTTATTTCATCGGCTATCCACAGAAGTCTTTTGGTTATCTCTTCTATAGACCAAATGACAATGTTGTCTTTGTTGCTAGGAGAGGGGTTTTCAGAGAAAGAGAACTCATAAGCCAAGGAGACAGTGGGAGTCAGATTGACCTTGAAGAGCTTCAAGAGTCAGGAGAAGAAGGAACCTCTGACACTGGCATGCAACCTGAGGAGGAAACTCCTGTTGAACCTATTGACCAGTCCTTACCTCTTAGACGTTCAAGTAGAGTTGTTGTTCCACCCCAGTTTTATGGTTTCCATATTACTACTGACGGGGATACGTTTATTAGTGATAGTACACTAGTAAATCTGGACGAACCTAACAGCTACAAGGAAGCCATGGCAGGCCCAGAGTCTGTTAAATGGAAAGAGGCAATGGATAGCGAGATTCAGTCCATGTATGACAACCAAGTTTGGAATTTGGTTGACAATGTACCAGGTCGTAAGACGGTCGGGTGCAAGTGGATCTTCAAGAAGAAGACAGACATGGATGGGAAAGTGCACACTTATAAAGCGCGATTGGTCGCGAAGGGCTTTACTCAAACTCCTGGAGTTGACTATGATGAGACCTTCTCACCAGTTGCGAAAATAAAGTCTATTAGGGTAATGCTTGCGATAGCTGCGTTTCATGATTATGAAATTTGGCAGATGGACGTAAAAACCGCTTTCCTAAATGGGAAGTTGGCTGAGGATGTTTACATGAATCAGCCAGAGGGTTTTGTCGATGCAAAGCATCCAAATAGAGTGTGCAAGCTTGAGAAATCCATTTATGGATTAAAGCAAGCGTCTCGCAGATGGAATCTTTGTTTTGACGAGAAGGTCAAAGAGTTTGGTTTTCTGCGAAATGAAGATGAGTCATGTGTATATGTCAAGGCCAGTGGGAGTATAGTGAGCTTCCTCGTATTGTATGTCGATGACATACTACTCATAGGAAACGACATCCCAACATTGCAGGAGGTCAAGTCCTGGCTTGGGAAGTGTTTCGCTATGAAGGACCTCGGAGAGGCTGCATATATTCTGGGAATAAGGATAGTGAGAGACAGAAGTAAGAGACTGATAGGACTCAGTCAGGATACATACTTGGAAAGGGTACTAAAACGTTTTAGTATGGAAAATTCCAAGAAAGGGGAGTTACCAATCCAATGCAATACCAAACTGAGTAAGACTCAGAGCCCGAGTACAGAGGCAGAAATAGCTGATATGAGCCGAGTACCTTACGCTTCCGCAGTTGGCTCATTATGTACGCTATGACCTGTACTCGCCCTGATGTGGCTTTCGCTTTGAGCATGGTCAGCAGATATCAAGGGAATCCTGGTAGGGCACATTGGATTGCTGTCAAGAATATTCTTAAGTACCTACGAAGGACTAAGGAATGGTTTCTAGTCCTGGGTGGGAGTGATGACTTAAGGGTGCGAGGGTACAGTGACGCTAGTTTCCAGACAGATCGGGATAATTACCGATCACAGTCGGGCTGGGTCTTTACCCTGAATGGAGGAGCAGTGACTTGGAAAAGTTCCAAGCAAGAAACCGTAGCTGATTCAACGTGCGAATCAGAGTACATTGCGGCAAGCGAGGCGTCAAAGGAGGCTATATGGTTGAAGAACTTCATTGGAGACCTTGGAGTTGTGCCATCCATAAAGGAGCCCATGGAAATTTTCTGTGATAATGAAGGAGCGGTTGCCTTAACCAAGGAACCAAGGGATCATGGCAGATCTCGACATATCGACAGGAAATACCATTTTATTAGACATCGGGTAGAAGAGGGACTCCTCGTTGTGAAGAGGGTATCGTCAGAAGATAACCCAGCAGATCCCCTCACGAAGGGACTGAGTAGGGTTAAGCATTTGCAGCACGCTAGGAGCGTAGGGCTGAAGGACGATATTAGTTTAGATTAGATAGGTAGGAAACTTGTAATGGATGATCATGTATTCAACATTTGATGATTAAATAAAGGTGTGTTATTTATAAGAAAGCTTCTATCTTGTGTTGATTATTTATCTATTGTTTCAATTTTGCATGTTTTGACTTCCTGAATAATAAGATTATTCGAACAGTCCACAATCGTTCATATGTTGGAAGTAGATATGAAGGAAGATTGTCATAAATTTGTTTGTAGATTGTCTGAAAAGTTTTAGACATAGCAAAGGTTTGCTGCAAAGTTTATGAGTGCTTATGAAATTTGTATTGAGCATTGGAATAGACCCACACTTGCTGGTATCACTTCATGAATGTTATCACAAGTGATCGCAAGATGATAATATCATATAATCTTTAAACCTAGAGATATGGTTATTGTTTGCTAGTTGATTATACATTGATAATGCGAAAACGCATCAGTAACTTGATGTTATAAAACGCATTATTGTGTGTGGTTTAACTAGTAAATGATAAAGGCATATTAGTCGACGTTTTTCTGTTCCTTTTATTCTATGAGAATAAAAGCGATATCTTGGCCACTTGATGATTTGGTTTGACTTATGTGCCGGGCCCGGTCAGGATGAAGTTGATGTGTTCAACTGAGTTCTATGTCGAACAAATCAGAGATCAAGAAATAAAATGCTAAACAATAAGTATTGTTAGCATGATATCTAGAACAGAGGATTATACGATCCCTTATCTGAAGGACAGATTATTGGTCAGAGTTGACAGCGGCTATTGAAAGCTACGATTGCTAATCGGATACGGAAGTCATATGTGAGATGTGGTTACTAGACTTATCCAAGTGGGAGACTGTTGGATTAGTGTCTAAGTCCGTAACTATATTTGGTATGTACTTGACCCGAGTGTGCATGGTCCTTTTGGGTTGCCTTCACCAAAGCAACTTGACAAGGTAATTTGATATGAGAGAGAAGATATTATGGTTTATTAATATATTATAAGAATAATATATTAAAGGAGAAATCATATTTATTTAATTAGTATTAGTCATAAATTAATTAGGAATTAATTTGGTGACTAAAAGAGATTAATTAAATAAAGGGGTATAAACTGTCAAATGTGTGATAGTTGAGTTTTGGGCTGGGAAACCTATGGACTAAGGGGGAACGAAATTATGATGAGGGATCATCATATTTTCGTCCAAGGGCCTCATTCCAGAAGGTTCCTTGGGCTGCTTGGTGGCTAAGCTATCCATTAGGGTTTAGACTGAAACCCTAGCACCCTACAGTATAAATAGATGCCCTATGCTTCAATTTTAGGCCACTTGATTCCAAGGGAAACCCTAGGGCCGAAATTAGCATCCTTCCCCTCTCTCTCTTAATTGCCTTCTTGCTTCAAGGTGTTTGTGAGCCATTAGAGGCACTACAATTGTGGTGCTTGCTTTCAAGAGTTCAAGAGATCAAGGAAACTAGTTGTTATTGCAATATAACAACAAAGGTATGTCTTCTACACTTCTATATGTTTTTCGAAAATTATAAAAGCATGCTAGGGTTTATTTTGTGTTCATATAGTTGTATGTCTTATAGTGAAAACATAGATCAAATTAGGGTTGCATGCACACATAGGATTGTTTGTATAAAACCTATCATAAATTCAACCCAATTTGCAAAACATTAAAGGGTCAATTTCAATAATTTTCACATCCAACAAGCAAAATGGTTCAAAAGTCTCCCAAAGTGTATCTAAATGCTTACAACATTCTAAAGTACGTAGTAGTATTATACCTAATAAAACTATAATATTGATATGAACCGAGTAGATAAGTGGGATCGGGTCTACATAAAAAGAAGGCATGGGCAATTTAGTAATTATTCTAGTATCTTTATTATTTAGTATATATCTAGTTGATTCTAGTTTCCTTAGGCACTTAGGGTTTCCTTCTATGAGTATAGATTCATTTTATCAGTTTAGGAGAGTCTATAAATAGGGCTAGAGCCGGCTGTAAGAAAGCAGACAGTTTTGTGAGTCGTTTTCTTTTGTTTGAAGACCCCCTGCTCGAATATCTGACACTTACCGTTTGTTTTTTAAGCATTAAGTTATAAGTAATCGAGTTTGTCAATTTGGCTATATCAAATATCCTTTTCCATTACAAAATGGGGTAAGGGGATGTCAGAAGATGCAGAGTGTAGACAGTCT